TTTTGAGCACATACACTTTAATGTGTATAATTTTGTAATATTTCTTGACTGAAAATGTCTAAATTGTGGTTAATGTATTGGTTTAAACACTCAAGGAAATATATATACAGTGCTCAGCATAAATGAGTACACCCCTTTCAAAAAGTAAGATTTTAATCATTTAATCAATATCTCAATGAACACAAGAACAATTCCCTAAATTTTGACAAAACTGAGTTTTATAGAACATTTGTTTAGCTCATTACATGAAAGTAAGGTTAATAACATAACTTAGATTACAAAATCTTCAGTTTTACTCAAATTAGTTGATGCAAAAATGAATACACCCAAATGAAAGTCTTAGGAGCAAAGCTAAATTTTAGACAACAAAATCCTAACTAACAAGAATTCAACTACAGGTGAGTCTAATTGTTCATTAAACAGGTTTCCAGCAGCCAGTTGATTATAAAAGGGCATTACTTAACAAAGAAAACCCCTTCCCGTTTCATGCTGTCAGCAATGGCACCACATGGAAGATAAATGTCCCAAGGCCTGAGAAGGAAACTAATTTCTTTACACAAGAAAGGTGAAGGCTACAAGAAGATCAGCAAAGCTTTACTTATTATTCAGAATACTGTAGCAAAAGTGATACAAACATTTTATAAAGATCGAACTGCAACCATCTCACAGAGAGACGTCCAAGCATCCACGGAAGTTAATACCTCGACAGGAGTGTCTTCTGATGAGAAGGATTGAAGAAAATCGCCATGCAAGTTCACTGCAGTTAGCTAAAGAAGTAGAAAGCCAAACTGGGGTGATTGCTTCCCATGATACAATACGGTGTGCACTGCAGAAGAATGACATGCATGGGTGTTGTCCACAAAGGAACCCTCTCCTGAAGCCCATGCACAAAAAAGCCCTCCTCGAAGATGCCAGCGCCCATGCTGAAAAAGAAGACTACCGGGACTCTGTACTCTGGAGTGATGCTACCAAGATACATGTTTTTGAAAGTGATGGCTTCAAAACTGTATGGTGTCGCAAAAGTGAGAAATACAAATAAAAATGGTGCCTACAGTGAAACAAGGTGGTGGCATTGTCATTCTGTGGGGCTACATGAGTGCTGCTGGTGTCAGGGAGCTGCATTTCATTGATGGTATCGTGAACTCACAGACGTACTGCTCTATACTGAAAGAGAAGATGCTACCATCACTCCATATCCTTGGTTGTCGTGCACTTCTCCAACATGACAATGATCCAAAACACATCTAAGGCCACTGTTGCATTTCTGAAGATGAACAGAGTGAAAGTGATTAAGTGGCCAAGTATGTCTCCTGATCTGAACCCAATCGAACACCTATGGGGAATTTCTGAAGAGACAAGTTGAGCATCCAGGCTCTAAAAGAGGTCATTTCTGAAGCATGGAAAAAGATAGATGCAGATAGTTGCAATATGTCGCCAACTTGTTCATTCCATGCTTAGAAGACTTGGTGCTGTCCTTACAAATCATGGAGGTCATACAAAATACTAGATGTAGTAATTTTTGTTGTGCGGTGTATTCATTTTTACATCAACTAATTTGAGTAAAACTGAAGATTTTGTTATCTAAGTTATATTATCAACCTTACTTTCATGTAATGAGCTAAACAAATGTTCTATAAAACTCAGTTTTATCAAAATTTTGGAAATTGTTCTTGTGTTCACTGAGGTATTGATTCAAATCTTACTTTTCATAAGGGGTGTAGTCATTTATGCTGAGCACTGTATATGTTTATGGATTGTTAAGACATCTAAAGTGGCTGTAAAGGCTCATGGTTTTTTACTTTCATGCATTTAATGCATGAAAATGAAAAAACCTTCTGTGTGCAGAAGACCCATGAGCCCCCCCAATACTTACCTGAGCCCCATTACAATCCAGCTGTGCACAAGAGCCGTGGCTCTTTAGAAACTCTTCATGTCAATCACAGCCAGTGAACCAATGAGGAGAGAGAGAGAGGATGGGGCTGAGCTGAGGCTCTGTGTGTGAATAGACATGCAGAGCAGTGGCTCTGGAGTGAGCCTGCTTGGGTGTCCCCATAGCAAGCTGCTTGCCCTTGGGGCACTAGGCAGGAAGGATGGGCCAGGAGTGTGGTCGTGGGACCCAAGAAGAGGATGATCAGGGCTGCTCTGCGCAAAACCATTGTACAGAGCAGGTAAGTATGACAAGTTTGTTATTTTAAGAAATGCCTTGGGAGAGTGCATGTGATCAACACAGGGTCAACCAGTACTGTCCAGACATGGGTCAGGGGTCCTGCAGCCTCCTACAAGCTTTAACATATGCAAATGTTAGGTGCTGATAGGAATCACAAGACTTCTCTAACTGCTGATGAGAAAAGGTATTTAGCAGTTTATATTTACTAAAATAATTGCACTTCCATGTTCTGTGTACAGTGGGAGACCAGATATAGTGAATGCAGGGTCCTGGGTTTAGTAACACTTTAATATCACTTTAATGGTGTTAGAATACAGAAGCTGAAACAGTATATAGGACCCTAGCATGGGCTTATTTAAAATGTTATTACACTCTAGAAAAAGAGCTAAATACACAGATATAACATATATGTAGTAGATTTTTCACCCGCTAAAGAATTTGTATTTCTGTCCAACTGGATCAGAGATTTACACAACTCTGGCATACAGCACAGCCTGGATTTTCTCTGCTGCAGTTATCTAACAGCAGATCTTGTACCTCCCACATTCTGTGACTGAACAGTGGAAGGAGAAGTTGTAAAATAGTGAGCTCATCTCTCTATCTCTCTGCTCTCTCCTCCTATCCATATGCCTGATGTACCAGATGCTTATACTGCTCACATTTAATGCTGTGGAAAACATCTTTCAAATATTGTAGAACCTGTTTAGATGTATATTATTTCTCATTTACCCCCTTTATGGGGTGTGAATATTGGATGATTTTGTACATGACTGAGAATTTTGATTGTTCTTTTTTATTTTAAAAGGTTTGCTGGCTCTTCTGCAGCTAGGTAAGATTTTTCTAATGCCTGGTTTATGGAAAAGCTATTCTATACAAAATGATTGTACACAATTATAATGTTTGTACAACACAATTTGCCTTCTAATGAGGAAAGGGGAAGCTACTGATCGCCATAGTTCAATTTCCATTGTATTCAATACATATTTCTCATATGTGGTCTGCAAACGTTCTGGCAATCAAATCAATTATTTTTTTATTTACTATCAGCTGAAATAATGTAAAGCTTAAGTCAAAGCAAAATAAAAAAAAATATTTAGTACATCTCTGGAGCACATTCACATTTCCCCGTGTTTATCCCTTAAGCATACTGCAAGTACAAAATAATAACTGTTGATGTGTCAGAAATATAATATGCTCCTACCGTCTTCTTTGGCATGACAACACAACTCTGAAGCATGTGGTGTCATTTAATTTCTGAAGGATTACAAAGATCTCTCAACATCCCCTTATCCCTCATCTGCATTACCCCTTTTTGTGCAGAGGCAAAGTGCACACTAATCAGTCTAGGGGTTTGGGTTTTTGGTGTTTATTTTATGAACAATAAACTTGGATGGGGAATGGGGGTGCATGGGATACCCCAAACTGAAGAAAAACTGTAGACCTATGTATAAACAGTTGGGGACCTGTTAAGTCTCTGGCTGCTCTAATTCAGAATGCAAGATGTATTGCACAGATGTGGGAATAGTAATGCAAAGCAGTTCACAAATTTGTGTTCAAGACACAGCACCTGGCTGTTTTGCACAGCACCTGGCTGCTCTATTCCCAAGGTTGGGGAATTAGCGCACTCCTGGTGTCCCAGACACATGAGGTATTGAATTCAACTGTGTTTCCCTCTCTTAGAAGTGATGGCTGGTTTGTTACTCACTCATCTTGTATTTGTGTATTTTAAAGCACCTTCATAAAATGGATGGGTAAGAGCGGGTAAACAATAATTGAAGTGCTGTGTAGTAGTAAACACTGGATGTTCAGTTTCATTTAAGTTCAATAAACCTCTCTTCACACTTTATTAAAGTAGATGTAAGCCCAATAACTAAAATCTAATATACTTTTTACATTGTTAAAGAAGAATTCCAGGTATAGTATTTTTTACATAATTGCATTGACTAATTTAACTATGTATACTGTATACCTGTGGGCAGGGGCGGACTGAAAACTCGCGGGGCCCCCGGGCAATAGGGGATCATGGGGCCCCTGTGTCCTTGCCCAAACTCAAAAAAGCCTATGAAAAAGGTACCAGGGGCATCTCATGGGGCCCCCTACTGACCCCGGGCCCTCGGGCAGCGCCCGAGTTTCCAAATGGTTGGTCCGCCCCTGCCTGTGGGGGCCTTCTAGAAACTGGAATTCAGTGCATCTACAGTAAACCCCACTACCTTCCATGCCCCATGCCGAGAGGGTGAAGGCTTCATTCTGAACAAAGGTCCTGTACATGGCTTGGGTGTAATTCAAAGAATGCTTTGCATTTTCTCAATGAATGCTTTGCATACACTGAGAAGATGCAAAGCGTCCTCTGAATGGTGCATGTGTTGAGCAACCAACCTATTGTGTATAGTAAGCAGCAGGGCAGCTGCTTGGCATGGGAACCATAAATTAGTGGAGATTAAGAGAAGAGCAGTGCCTCCTACAGTGACTTCCAGCAGTCAGGATCCATAAACCAGGTGGAGACAGAAAGTGCAATTAACAAAATAGCAAATACAACATAGATCAGGAACGTAGTCAATACAGAATCCAGGGTATGGATGCCAGTGCGGGTAATCAGGCAAGCCAGGGTCAGGAAACCAGAAGTCAGCGTAGTTAGGAGCCAAAAATCAGGAATAGGAAGCAGAAGAGAAGTCAGCCAGACAAAGTTGTACACAGGAACACAGGCAGGAATGCATTGGAGATCATAGACCAGGGGGATCCCACAGGTATGACATTGTATATGCACAGTTACATTGGTCCACACAATCCATAGCATTTGTAAACAAAAACTTTGTGCATCATTTTTATCTTTCCAATGTTCTTTATCTTAGGTTCTGCCTACAAGCTGGTCTGCTACTTTACCAACTGGTCTCAGTACCGTCCGTCTCCCACTGATTATTTTCCAAACAATGTGGACCCAAATCTCTGCACACACATTATATATGCATTCGCTTCCATGGAAAATCACAAAATCGTTCCTTATGAACAGAATGATGAGCAGCTATACCAGCAGGTTATTGCACTTAAAAAACAGTAAGTACCATTCAAACTTAGCTCATCTGTGGATAAATTCTTAAAAAGGACTTCCATGTAAAAAAAAACACCTCTTTGTCCAAATGCTAGTTACTCCTTCCCCAATACGCCTCCTCATTAACAATAACAAATGCTTTAGCCTGCTGTCATTTACGTCTTCAGGGCTTTAATTATCTTTCATGCAATATATTAACAGAAGTCATATAAGTGACTGAAGCAGATGAAATACTAAATTTCACCTTCTGTTAAACAGTGAACAATGAATTGCAAAGATTATAGTCATGTTGGGGTAAGAGAAATGTTCATATTTAGGGGTCAGACAGTTCTGCAATTTATAGCACTTTAAGAGCATATTTACTTTGCAAAGTGAATTTTCACTTAATTTAGTGAATGAAAAGAAGTCAAGTGAAAAATCACTTAATGAATATCCAATCATGTGGAAGGAAAATTAAAAAAAAGAATTTGTGCTTGCATGTGATTGGAAGATTGAAGTCAGCAAAGCATCATGTCATTCACTAAGCCTATATTCCTTTATTTAATAAACTCCTTTGCAAGTCATTTTCTGCTCTCTTCAAGTATTTTCCTACTAAATAAAGCAGCCTAGCACATTATAAAGAAATTGTGGTTTTTTGGGGTGGGGGAACACATGAAAGGTCAGCTTGCCATTTCTCAAATGATTTATTGACATTTTTCCTAAATTTCTAAATTAATTTTGCTAATATTTCTCCATGCTGGTGCCTTGTTAATTTGAATGAAAAGGGAACAATATGCTCTGCATAGCGCCCCTAATTATTATGAAAAATGCTAAAAATACACTCACATGATAAAGGAATATATCCACATGTCAAATAAACAATCCAGGTCGATCTGAACTCACACAAGACATTTCCAGACATTATGATGTCACGGGACATAGCTCCTCCCAACGCATTTCACCACATGTGACGTCTTCTGGGGCAAATGAGAATTTATCAACTGATTGCCAGAGAGAAGTGAGAGGACTGAAAATGTCCATTTTAGGGAATTCACATTGGCAACAGATTGGTGAAGGTGAATCCTGCATAGGACTTTGTTTTTCATGGTGCATGGTGAAGGTGAAGCCTGCATAGGACTTTGTTTTTCATGGTACATATTGACATTTCATGTTCATATGTCAAAGCAAACACATGCATATATTGTGAGCAAAGAAGACATTGAGTCCCAAAAATAAAATAATTAAAAACATATTTTATATTATCTAAGCCTTTCCACTGACCCTACCCATATTCTGTGTTTTGTGTATTATAGGAATCCTGATCTTCTGATTTTACTGGCCATTGGAGGATGGAATTTTGGAGTACAGAAGTAAGATATGCAGTAATGTATAAAAGTAACTCTAGCGACTGGCAGTGTTCAGAGAGAGGAAATCCTGAAAGGGGGATAGCAAATGCTGTTTTGATGCTTGTTTAACAATTATTTTCAGGTTTACTGCAATGTCGTCCTCTGCTGTAAATCGACAGATATTCATTGAATCAGTTATCAATCATCTTAGAAAGTTTGGTTTTGATGGTTTGGATCTGGATTGGGAATATCCAGGCTCTGAAGAAAGAGGTAGCCCTCCAGAAGACAAACAGCGCTTCACAGTTTTGATTCAGGTATGCAACTAATTTACATTACTGGCAAGCAGGTTAATTAGTTTTGTTGCCTCAACTGTTTTTTTTGTTTTCACACTCGTGTTAAAATATATACTTTTATATTACAATAAAATGTACTAAAAACATATATATTTATATATACATAAAATATATAAAAATATATAATTTCTGAAAGGACAATACCTGTAGATTAAAATTTGCATTTTTTTATGGTGCATGATGTTTGCACATTTGTTGTCAAATTCATATTATCAGTAAAAAAAACAAACAAACATTCATATAAATTTTAGTGCACACAAAAACAATATAATATCCACATTTATGTTAAATATAAAAGGTAGGACTGTTTTGAGTAAACAGATACAAAATATGTCAGGCCTTTAAAATGATGTGAACTTGTGAAAGAGCAAAGGCCTATAACAGCTATAAGTAATTGTCAAGCACTTAAAAAAAACAAAAAAAAAAACTTTACAGCTTATTAAATTAAAGGTAACTGTAGGTTGTATGATGGCCTGTAGCACAGAAGAACACAAACCTTGAAACAGGTTGCAATAATTGAGTTGGTCCAACCACTTTCTGTCAAGGCAATAAAAACCTAACATGGTTCTAATGCTTTGAAAACTTTTTTTCTGGTAGGGTTCTGGTAGGAGAAGTTCTTTAGTGACAGGGATAATTTACAAGTTAGGGACAGGTACAGGAGCTTTAGCATTTTTACTATAAGCTCCACACCAAATAGTACCAGTACAGGATTCCTAGCTGTTAATGTATTGCTGCAAACAGGCCAGGACCAATTTAGCAGGACTACTGTTTTCTTTTTGTTCTCTGAAATACTATGGAAGTTTTATTTGTTCTTCTGTAGACATTGGATCATTGAATTGTATTAATTTATACATTATAATATTCCTTTTGATTTAGATAAGGGTGCACAGTATACAGCCTGATGCCCAGCATTGGTCCCTAGCAGGGGCAGACTGACAACTCATGGGGCCCCCGGGCAATAGGGGATCATGGGGTCCTGCATCCTTGCCCAAACTCAAAAAAGCCTATGAAAAAGGTACCAGGGGCATCTCATGGGGCCCGCTACTGACCCCGGGCCCTCGGGAAGTGCCCGAGTTTCCAAATGGTCAGTCCGCCCCTGGTCTCTAGGATATTATCCCTTACTTGGCAGACCAAATTACTATTTATGTATTTGGTTTGACCCACCAAACCATGCAACGCAATCACCTCCTATCACTTCATTTCTTTTCTTAACACCATGTGTATGCTATGGTGGCTGCTACCAGTGGAAGGCCGATAGCTGAAGAATAATGCAACAGGGGAACTTTTGTAAGACTGAGGACAGGTCCAGGGATGGTATGCTGATATAAACACATACCTAGAGCAAGAAAAGGAATGAACTATTTTGAAAAAGAAAGGCTGGTATGACAAAGAAATTCCTCTAACACAGGGTCTCCAAACTTATCAGAATGGGGGCAACATAGTATATTTTACAAATGTTTGTGGGCTGATAAAAATAATTTTATAACTTAGTGAATATATTTAAAAGAATGAATGATTTTTACTTTGAGATTGTTGTAATCAGTATTATAATATTTGGAACAACAGATTAAAAACTTCAGTAAAACAAATCAAAGAAGTTCCAAATATCCTTTAGCCATTAAAACAGTCATTAAACAAAAATACATTTTTTTCTGCACCGTTCTCAACAGAGCCTCCTTTAAATCACAATTCTCTTTAAATCAGAGTACCTCCTTACATCAAATTCCCAATCAGAGCCTCCCATACATTAGAGTCACTCATCACATCAGGGTCCCCTTACATCAGAGTCCCTTTTACAGCAGAGTCCCCCCTTGCATCATAGTCCCCATCAGTGTCCCCCCTTACATCAGGGTCCCTAAAGTCCCTTTTACATCTGTGCCCAATCAGAGTCCCTCTTTCATCAGAATCCACATCAAAGTCCCACCTTACATCAGGGTCCCCTTAATGTCAGGGTCTCCATCAGGGCAGAAACTGTGCACATTAGCTGTGAGCTGGATAAAATCTTGTCGGCTGGAAAGGTCACATGATTGTGGGAAGCAAGCGGCATGCAGAGACCTGGGAGCAGGGAATTGCTAATTCTCAATATAATTCTCAAGCTGAGTGGGTTATATGCAGTTTGTTCAGCACAATAGTCATATCCAGCTATTTGTGTTTTCAGTTAAATACTCAGGAATATTGTAAATCTTTTTCCCTTGTTTAAGGAACTGCTTGCTGCATTTGAAAAAGAAGGCGAAGAGAGCAAACGTCCACGTCTTCTGGTAACAGCTGCTGTTTCTGCTGGAAAGGGAACCATTGATGATGCTTATGAGATTTCTAAAATTGGCAAGTAAGTTGAAATAAAGCTCAAATAAATAGAAGTAAAATGTACAGTCCTTTGCTCAGTTATTTACTGTATGTGTCTATCCAACATATGGTAATAGAAGAAGAAAATCTTCTTACAAGACACCAGAGAATTAAATGCCTATAAAGATAAACCTAAATTTCTCACATAAGCATATGCTTCAAATGTTACAGGATTATCACTGAATTGAGTGCAACGTATAACAGAGATGCAGCCTGCAGTATCTATATCAAGATGAGAACAGAAAGCATATGTGCTCACTTGCTCATTCTGAGTTTAATGTGACAAACAGAAATAAATCACACTATATGGATATCTACTTTCTTTATAGTGTCAGTTCAGGCCACATGGAGAAGTGTTTCAATTTGTGTTACAAAGTTAACATTACTAACATATAAGATACTAAAGTGAATGTCAGAACAAACACAAAACTGAACAAAGATAGCATAAACCACGTGTGACTAACCTGTATCAAGAGAAGAACAGAAAACACATGTGCTCACTTGCTCATTCTGAGTTTAATGTGACAAACAGAAATAAATCACACTATATGGATAACTACTTTCTTTATAGTGTCAGTTCAGGCCACATGGAGAAGTGTTTCAATTTGTGTTACAACAAATTACCATTACTAACATATAAGATACTAAAGCGAATGTCAGAACAAACACAAAAACTGAACAAAGACAGCATAAACCACGTGTGACTAACCTGTATCAAGAGGAGAACAGAAAACACATGTGCTCACTTGCTCATTCTGAGTTTAATGAGTTTAATATGAGCTTGATGGTTGTTAGTCTCATGAAGTCACTCTAGGAATCATTAGAGCTCTCTCTAGCAGCAGCCCAGTAATTACTGAAAGGTTTATTCGTTTACTTGCTACACAAGCATCATTTGCAAATTCTTTGCCCAGCTGTAATGAAAACAAATGTTCTGTTCTATTTATTTATGAACATTCTTTGTTTTAAAAAAGCAGTCTCCAATATATCAAGGCAATAAAAAATAAAATACATCTGTTCTTCTGACAGTCATACAAACTGACCAAACTAGCAGGTATCCCGAAGGATCTCAAAACGTCTACTGGGTATGGCCTTGCTCAACAGGAAGAGCAGATACGGAAAATATTTTGGTTTTTTATCATCTTCGACATTTCTGGGAATGTTGGAGGATGTGTTGGGGGCTGTGTGTTCTAAAAAAACAAAGTTTTCCCCCTCCCTTGCCCTGATATCAGCCAAGGCCCTTCAGCAGCCAAGGAAGCCTGGCATTATCTGCATTGACAGTGCCTGCAGATTGTGTCAGGCTTCCCTCACAAACAAAGGCTGATATTGTTTTTTGTTTCCAGTTCCACCCACAGGCACTGGCAAGGATTCTGTATTTCTGGCAAAATCAACAGATATCTTCTGTACTTTCTAATAATGTTTTTAGCTTGAACATTTAATGAATGGTAGGGTCAGTGGACTACCTAGACTATTTTGCATCCAGGGCTGATATTTTTTTGATTGGGGGGGCTGCAACAACAAAATATATATTTTTGTAGCAGCACAAGTATATTATATTATATGATCATGCCATTAAAAAAACACAACAAAGACAAGTGAAAAAGTAATAGAATGCTTTTTAATGACATTAGCATATTTTTAACAACAAAAATTACCTTTATTTAGGTATGTTGAAATCATGAAAAGATTACAGTTCATTACTGTCAGTAAATATATCCCAAGATACAAAATCGATAGTGTACTGACACAGCGAGAAACGTCCACAAACAAAAAATCGTATCGTACTAACAGCGCCAAAAACATTATACAGATATACATTCACTACTGTACTGACACTGCCAAAAACACCTTTGAGAACAGACTATTGTACAGCAAAAGGATGTATAACCACCCAGATCCCCAAATCATCAGCTATTCAGCAGCTAATGAAATGGCCTGTAATCTTACCCCTAAAGGCCAATATATTACCATACTGCTAACTTATTTACCAGACATCATCCCATTTCAATAGCTATCTACTGGCTTGTATCACAGATTCACAGTGTTACTCTCCAGCTCCAACAGGAACATGGAGTGGCAGCACCGTGCGACAGACTGATGTCGGTGGGCAGATTTAAGTAGGATGAGAGTGACATCAGATCACTCAGCTCCTGCCCTCAGCCCAAAAAGACCAGGTTTAATCTATACCTGCAATTTGCTAACAGACAAAAAAATTGAAAATTCAGACACCCTCTGACTGGCAGTACCTCATACCTTACCCCTATGTATACCACTGGGTAAGCTAGAGTAAATTACAGTTTTGTTCTTGGGTTTAGCTATGCTGTGAAAGTGCATCATATTAGCCTTGTGTTTTTGGCTGACTGAAGATTTATATGGCACCATATTTACTAGGACAGTATGAAGGGGTGTGAGACAAAATTGAATACTTCTTTGGGTGAGCGACAAGGGGCATGTCAGTGGCCTTACTGTTCTCATTCGTTCAGTGGCTTTTACAGTAGTCACAGATATTTCCCTGTTTTACTGCACATGTTGCCAATAGTGAAAACTAAGAGTGATTTCAAATACAGAGCCTTAGAATTCATGTGTAGTAAATACATTTCACAACATATTTGAGCATTAAGAATATATAACCCTCCTGGAGTAGCTACAGACCAGCTTTAAAGCAAACCTGTGCTTTGCCATTGCAGAGCAAAGCAAAAAACATTGCTATGATTTTCCTCCCCAAGAACAAAGACTAACCTCTCTTCACTCCCCTACACTCCAATAAGATGGTATGGGCAAAGAAAATACTAGGTAAATCAGAATATGTAGGAACATATAACTCATTTCATGTGACATTGCTAGGTCAATCACCAAGCACCACTTTCACATGGGGAGAGCCCATAGACATGTGTAAGCTGGTTCTGCTCCAGGCAGAATGAAGGATGAATATGGAGTGCTGGTTAGGAGATGAATAAAGTGAACTTGCCCTGCATTGGTTTTACTTTTCGAAATATGGAAATTGCATCTGTTTCATGACAAGCTGTAAAATAACACTTAATTTGATGTATTATTTTCATTTCTTATTATTCAGGTTGCTTGATTTTATCAGCGTTATGACGTATGATTTCCATGGTGACTGGGACAGGCAGACTGGTCATAACAGTCCATTGCATAAAGGACAAGCCGACTATGGGGACAATGAATACTTCAACTGTGTAAGATAACTAAATCAACCATATTGGGTTACTAAAGTGCAGATTTATATTTTGTATAGTTTGTCCGGACTGATGGCTGCTCAAAGCACCACATCCCTATATTATTAGTTTAGAATTTAAAATTGCATTGTGGGACTTTATAGGTGCCAAAAAGAACTGCCCTAGACAATATTTGTATTAAAAATTAATATTTAAAATATTGAATTTAAACCCAGACTATAATAAACTCTCTTTACATGTTATATAACAGAGTGTGCAAATTTGCAAAGCCACTAAAGCTCCACTTTCAGTTCCCTTCTAAGCTCTTCATTTGCTCCTTTTTTTTAATCTGTTCAGTGCACATGACTATAGAGTCACACATGTGGTAAATGACATTACCCTTCCTCCTCCATGTCATCCTATTGATAAACACTATAGGGATAGGATAGACAGTATTAAGCTGATGAATTTATTCACTAAGAAACTCACAAAAAAGTTTAGTTTAAATATGTATCTGTATTAAATATATAAAATGTAACTGCTAATACCTGTAAAGTAAAAAAAAAGAGCCTTAGAGGCAGATGCCATCTGTACACCATATTAATGCACTAAAAATTACACATTTGACATTCAATACAAATTTATAGGGAGTTTTTTTTATATTTATACTTTAATTTGAATTGCTGTTCTGAAATAGTTTTTTTTTTTATATTTATACTTTAATTTGAATTGCTGTTCTGAAATTGTTTTTTTTAGTCATGTGGCTGGCACAGTATCAGGGTTGTGCAGACACAGACTCATACTGTAGTAATAGAAGCCCCTCCAAAAGATCTTTCCCTGTAGATGCCAAAGAAAAGGGAAAGATTATGTGACCACACAACAATGGTGCAGGAATAAGGTACTTAAGGTACTTGTAGTTACTGAATCACACATGTATATGAGGATGTGATTGGGAGCCTGCGAACACTTTTAAAATTATAAATAATATTTTTGTGGCTCACAAGTAATTTTCTAACATTTTTTTCTAAGGTACTTAAAGGGTTAAAAAAAACAACAAAAAAATACAGTGGCATGGTATACAATTTATATGATTTATGTTAATGAATTATGTCAATTAACACTTCTCTGTTTAGTATTACTTTGATATAAATATTGTCTAGTGCAGTTTTCTTTGGCACCTCTAAAGTCCTTTATTGCAATTTTGAATCTATATATTTCCTCTGCACAATGTTTGCCTTGATTACCTTCTTTATATCTTCTCATTATAAGATTTTGTGTTATTCATGTTGAAGAAGGACTGGGGTTCTTCTTTTACATAAATATAAAAAAAGAAAGTGGTTTCACTTGTGCTGTCCTTAAAAAAAAAGGTGACAAAGTATGTTAGGCTTGTGACTGATTTTATAACTCCATAAGTTACTTCCCCTACTTGGAATTTTCCAGAAGAGTGTTGTTGTAAAAACAACCTTTACCTTTCCATCACACATAAGTAGACAATAACATTCAGTAATAAATTATTTTCTTTAATAATGGTTGAATGGTTGCTTAATGGTTGAACTGGATGTACTTTTGTCTTTTTTCAGCCAGACTAACTATGTAACAAAAATGTAGAGGTTAAATGTTCACAATGGTAATTCGCTGTGAGTAAGATTAGTAACAAATTGGTTTTGGACACCAAGGTTTTAAAGCAGAACTCTGGGCAAAAATGTATTTACATGTCCTTGTTGCTAATTTCCTACCTTGACTGAATATGTCATCCATCTTCTGGTTCACTCAGTAGTTGCACTGAAATAGTCTAATTTAAAATCAAACTATTAATTCTGTTTGGTTTCCTGTTTGTAAGACAGGTGGTTGCTATGCCTCTTATTTCCCCAACCACTGGTCTTGGCACATCCCTTCTGTAGGTTTTACTTGCAGTGGTGGGCGGATCAAGACTCTCAGTCACGTTCAACATGTACAGGCCTAGTGTACCTGCTCACATTCACTACAATTCCCTGTGGTTGATGAGAACTGTAGTTTCCTTTTACTGCAGAGACTAAGGAGAGGATATGATGTAATCCGTACTGTTACATCTCCTCCTTGGCAGAGCAGATGCTTTTTTTCTTTTGAATTACAGAGATGAGGTTATGAAAATTAAATTAGACTCTTCTCCTAAATGGTAAGGGTTTTCAAAGTTTTGTTAACGGTTTATGGTTTTGTGTAGGGGGGATGTACTAATGGGTGATTTTTTTGCCTATCTCGTATTTCTTTTTAAGCAAACCTGTCATGAAAGAAACATAGAGGCTGCCATTGCTGGGCTCTGTTTTTCAAAAATTGTCTGATTGTTATGCTAGCATAACAGTCTTTAGCATATCATTAACATAACATTCATTCACCTTTTTAAAGCTTTTGTGATGCCAGAGCAAAGCTCTCCAAGTTCAAATAGGAATATTTCTCTAGGCAGGGCTTTTTTCTCAGAATATGGGTGCAGGACTTCAACCACTACCCCCCAAAACCCCCTCCACCCCTCCACACACCCTCCAAACTGCGTCAAATAGTGGGTGTGGTCAAATTTCACTAACAGTGAAAGAGACTGAAAGGGGCATTAAATACCAAGAGTGCATTATGTACAGAGCACAGAGTTTAGTGGAGTTACACACAGAGTGCAGAGTTCAGTAATGCGCTACAAGCAGAATGCAGAGTTCAGAGGTGCACTGCATACAGAGTGCAAAGCTCAGGGGTGTGCTACACACAGTGTGCAGAATTCAGCCTTCTTCCACAGCTGCTTACCACTGCAACCCCTATCCACATCTCACTGTCACCACTCTTCTTTTCTAATTCCTCCCTGCACACTGTAGGTGGCTACGCCTCTCCCATTTGCAGGGAGATCATCCAATGGGGGGGTGTCAGCATCCACACTACACCCTGGGCACCTGCATCTCCCTTGTCCTCATCCTGCACTCAGTGGGAGCCACTCAGAAGATCAGATCTGTGGGAGCCATTGGGAGACAAGCTGTCACTTGTAAACACAGAAGTTGGACCTCTGTGATTACAAGTGATAGTGGTGAGCAAAGAACAGAAGGTCTGAGCCAGAGGTGATGGAACTGAGTTCCACCAAGTTCCAGCTGGAAAAAAAAGCCCTGTTTCCAGGAGCTGGGAATGTCAGAGTCAACATTAAATTCCATTGTTTTTAGCCCCATGGCAGGCGGGAACCCAAATTAAGTTGTAGAGGGCATTTTTAGCAATGCTGGTGCTCTTGCAAGTGTTCATGTACAAACATATGGATGCCTGGCCTTGAGGAGGCTCAAAAAAGAGTTTAAAAATGTTGTGAAATTATGCTTATATGTATGAACCCTTACTAGCCTACAAAACACACGTACATATCTTATAAAATCTCTCAGAAACATTTTAGTGAACATAAAGTAGAACATCTGATACTTTTTTTTTTTACAGAGAAAACCCAATCCAATCAAAATTAATTGACTTAATTCATGTGATACATATTTTCCAAATAGGAATATGCAATGAACTACTGGAAGAAAAAGGGTGCCCCAGCAGAGAAGCTCATCATGGGATTCCCTACCTATGGTCGTTCTTTCACTTTATCTGGATCAAAAACACAAATATTGGAGCCCCCATTGCTGGGGCTGGGTCTCCTGGGCCTTACACTGAAGAGGCTGGATACTGGGCATACTTCGAGGTATCAGTAAAAAAATAATGCTATTCACAACTGATGTACCTCATGTCTCTTGGTAAAGAAACTATTGTGAATTTCCAGTAAGCAGCTGTGCTTCATATTCAATATTATATTGTAAAGTTTGATTTTATCTAGTAATAGTCACGTGATTTATATTTTTCACAAGGGTACTTCCAGTATAAATTTGTAGCCCCTACCTTATGTGAAGTCACATGATTTCTTGCAAGTTCCAAATTTGGGGCAGAGTTGATGCACTGATATAGTGACCTACTGTTGGCCTCTGCGGTCAGCAATAGATCATTAAAAATGATCTGTTGCAATAGAGCTGCATGGGGGGGCAGGGCTGGATCAGACCCTCCATGAAGAAAAAACATTGCAAAAAAAAAATAAAAAGCTTTAAAATATATTTATATTTTATACATAGATTTAATCCCTAGATCTCACCAATTAAAGTCATGGCCAAAAATATTGGCACCCCTGAATTTCTGTCAGATAATGCACCACTTCGCGCAGAAAATTGTTACAATTACAAATGTTTAAGCATTCTCATGTTTAATTATTTTGTTTGTATTGGCATGACACAAAAAAGTGGAGAAAAAAAAAGCCAAATCTGACACATTCAACAAAAAAAACCACAAAAATGGACTGGACAAAATTATTGGCACTTTCTTAAAATTGCAAGAAATAATTGCATTCCAAGTTTGTGATGTTCCTGTAATTTGTAATTAAACTCACCGGTATCAATTATCAGGTGCTGACAATATAGAAATCACCACAGCAACCAGTTAAAATGGTGGAAAATTGACTCAAACTTTCTGTTGTGTGTCTCTGGAGCATGGAGAAGAGAAAAAGCAGCAAAGAATTGTCTGAATTAAATTGTCTGAATTTGAGAACAAAAATTGTGGAAAAGCATGGATGCTCTCAAGGTTACAAGTCCATCTCTAGAGATCTAGAGATCTGTTTAATTTGTGCAACATTGTCAAGAAGTTTACAGCCCATGGCACTGTAGCTCATCTCCCTGGACGTGCACGAAAGAGAAAAAGTTTGATCAAAGATTGCAGCGAAGGATTGTTCGAATGGTGGCTAAAGAACCTCGATCAGCTTCCAGACAAATTCAAGCTGAGCTTCAGACATAGGATACAACTGTGTCAGCTCATACTTTACATCTGAATGAGAAGGGACGCTATAGTAGGAGGCCCAGGAGGACCCCACTGCTGACACAGAAACATAAAAAAAGCCAGATTGTAGTTTGCCAAAATTTACCTGTGGAAGCCAAAATCCTTTTGGGAGAATGTGCTGTGGACAGATGAAACAAAATTACAGCTTTTTGGTAAAGCCCATCATTCTACTATTTTCAGAAAAAGCAATGAGGCCTTTAAAGAAAAGAATACAGTCCTTACAGTCAAACATGGTGGAGGTTCACTGATGTTCTGGGTTTGCTTTGCTGCTTCAGGCACTGGATGTCTTGACCGTGTGCATGGCATTATAAAATCTGAACACTACCAAAGAATTCTGGGGTGCAATGTAGGGCCCAGTGTCAGAAAGTTGTGTCTCCGTCAGAGCTCATGGGTCTTACAGCAGGACAATAACCCAAAGCAAATGTCAAAAAGCAGCTAAAAATGGTTTAAGACAAAGCACTGGAGAGTACTAAACTGGCCAGCAATGAGTCCAGATCTCAATCCCATAGAGCACTTGGGGAGAGGTCTCAAAACAGAAGTTGGGAAAAGGAATCCTTCCAATGTGAGAGATCTGGAGCAGTTGGCGAAAGAAGAGTGGTCCAAAATTCCAGTAGAGAGGTGTAAGAAAAACTCATTGATGGTTACAGAAAGTGATTGAATTTAGTTATTTTTTCCAAGGGGTGTGCTACCAAGTATTAAATTGCCAATAATTTTGTCCAGTCCATTCTTGAGGTTTTGCGTGGAATGTGTCAGATTTAAATTTTTGTTTCTCCACTTTTAGTGTCATACCGATACAAACAAATGAAATAAACATGAGAATGTCTAAACATTTGTAATTGCAACAATTTTTTTTGGGGGTGGTGTATTATCTGACAGAAATGTAGGGGTGCCAATATTTTTGGCCATGACTGTACACTGGATGATCTGGATGATATTTGTACTTACTGCATGAAAGTCAGTTTGCAAACCTTTTTTTTAATAAACGACTTGTCAAAAACTGCCTCCTGTGTTTTTTTTACACTACACTTTTTTTTTGGTGAATGAGTAGTGGTATCATGTACACCATACATATTCACATGGGGGGGGGGGCTAGGATCTGGGGGCCTCCTTGTTAATGGGGGCTTCCAGATTCCGATAAGTCCCACCTGTAGATCCCAAGGGTTGTGGGGGAGAGGCCTTTGTCCTCAACAACATGGGGACAAGGTGCTTTGGGAGGGAGCACCCCCTGCCCCAAAGCCCCCCCTTATTGAGGGCTTGTGGCCTGGTATGACTCAGGAGGGTCACCCCCCCCCCTTTCTTGACCTGCTGGGCTGCATGCTCGGATAAGAGTCTGGTATGGATTTTAGGGGGAGCCACGCCCTTTTAAAAAAAACTTTGACCCAACCCAAAGGGCTTGGTATTGATGCCCTCCCCCCATCAATACCACGCTGCTTTTTTGCTTAATTTTTAATTGCCGGCAATTCTTTTTTTACATTCAGCTGTCATCGGGGTTCCCTGCTGACAGCTGATGACTCATGGATTGTGAAGGATGCGTTGGCCGCTCACTCCTTAACAACTATGACAGTTATGGCAGTTACCAGTACATACCGCATGCCTAGACCACTACTTAATTACTGCATGCATTTAATTATTTTATTTCCTTCTGTGAATTGACCTTAAGGTCTTCTTATGCGGTATTTACTGAGCGTTTTTGCTATTCGCGGTAAATACCCCATACTAGCAATAGTGAAATTACATTTTCAGCAGCGCTTGCAATATGTGGTCACGTGACCAACATAGTGCATGCAATGACCTTTAGTGAATTGTCCCCATGGTTTGGTAGCCTGGTCCCTAAATCTTTTTATTTTTGATAAAGTGCTTTGCTTGCCTTAACTGAAGCTTAATATTCATGTTTCATTAAAGTTAGATTGCCTGTAATTATCTTTGTATTACTTGAGTACAGATTTGTGCCTTCCTCTCTGGAGCAACAGTGGTGTGGATGGATGACCAGAAGGTTCCATATGCATACAAGGGCAACCAGTGGGTTGGATATGACACTGTAGATAGTTATGCCTATAAGGTACATTTTAAGGAAATTTGTGACAAATATGTTTGACATGGTACACTCTTTTTCACACCTAATATGAACAAACTTACCAACTTTTTTTCATAATTATTCTATTTATATACTAGATCTATTCTTACCTTGTTTTTGATAACACTTGCAAATGGTAAATTATAGAAACAGAAATAATACCTACATTTTGAATTGAGTTTTTGTATGGTAATTCTTATTGATTTACTTCCTAAACAAGAATATAAATAAAATTGCATAATCTAGAGCCTACAATCAAGCATGACATGAGAAAAAAATCATGGTTGTTGGCTCTTTCTTCTCCAGATAGAATTTGTGAAGCAAGGAGGATTTGGTGGTGGCATGGTTTGGGCCATTGATCTGGATGATTATCTGGGAACATTTTGCAACCAGGGCAAATATCCACTGATCAGCAAATTAAAGGAAGCATTTACAGGTATACAAGTCTTATGTATATATGTATGTATATCCTTGGAATGTTTTTGTTATCCTTAGTTTTTTATATTTCATTCTATGTGCTTTTTATTGCATCTTATTAAATGTATTACTTGCTCAAATTTACTGTTTTCTAAAATTATATATCTTCTACATACGTTTTAGTGATAACAAATAATAAAGATTAATTAGTAACCTCATTATGTATAGTGCCACTGTTAAAGCGGTTCTTTACACTAGAAACAAAAAAATTGAAAGCCAGCAGCTACAAATGCTGTAGCTGCTGACCTTTAATAATAGGACACTTACCAGCCCAGGGATCCAGCATGGTCCTCGCCCGAGCCAGCTTTTCAGGTCCCCGACGCCTGCATCTTTAGTGTGGGAATCCAACTGTGACAGCTTGTGGCTTCAAAGCTAGTTTCCTGCTGTCCTTGAGTGATCTGCTGTGCTTTATGAATGGTCACACAGCTTTCTGGGACCTGTGAAGTGTCCCAGGAGGCTGCAGGGGAAAGGAGGGGTGATCGCAACAGCGATCTGACCCAAAGTGGGATTGGGTACCTGTGAAAACCATGTACCCACTACCCCAAAAAATTTTAAAGTGCCAAACTTAAGGATGAGGGGGCAGGCAAGCAGAACTTTCCTCTTTAGGTGAAGTCCACTTTAATAAATACCCATTTTCACTTGGTCGAATATAACCAAAGATAACCATTTAAACAAACTGTATGTTTTATATATCTTAGTATGAAACAATGACAAAGCATGGGTAAGGAAAGGAGATGGATGCCATTCAAACCAGCCCAGTCAGGTCAGTATATCTGATGGCTTCAGCCACTGCTCCAGCCACACTGTATGAGGCTGAGGCCATCACATATACCAACATGACTGGGCTGGTTTGAACGGCATCCATCTCCTTTCATGCTTCTAGATTGGTATCAGAATGCCTGCTTCTGTTATCTGTGTACCAGCAGGGTCAATTTTGTGCTGTCTGGTTTGTAGCGGCTCTGTAAGTTCATCTACCCAACAATGACAAAGCAAATATATGCACCAGTATATACAAAGGATAGCTCATCTTAGTTTTTCATACCTCTCACTGCCAAATAACAGGTGACCGTGTAATCATTTCTTCATCATCACATTTGTTTGTGCACATGCCACCATGATTGTAGATTACCAGTGGTGTAAGCACGTAACACTTATTTGTCTAAGGCCCCTATGCTGAATGTGGTGTTGTTAAACCCGTTTCCACATTTTTGTTCTATTTGGTAAAATGCATTATTCACAAGATTAGGAAGCATCATGTTTAAAAATATATAGAGAAAAATGGTGTGCCTGGAGTTAATACTTTTTTTTTCATAGGCACAGATCCTCCTATTCCTCCTACTCCTCCAACATCATCTCCAGGAGAGGACACTACAACACATGCTACAACTACAACCACCACCACCACTACCACCCAGGCAACTCCAAAACCTACTCCTGATACATCTGTTGACCCTAATTTTTGTTCCAGTGTATCAGATGGCATATATGCAAATCCATTAGATCGCAATAAATTCTACATGTGTTATCAGCATATTACCTACCCAATGAATTGCGGCCCAGGGTCCGTGTTTGATCAAAACTGCAAGTGTTGTGCCTGGCCACATTCACATTGATATTTAACACTGTGTATGGAAAATAAAATACAAAATATAATCTCTGACCTTGCTGATGTGTGATGTGATTTTTGCTTGTGTGCCACCCAAGACATGAAAGTTTGGTTAGTTTTTACAATTTTCTAATGACACTTTTCCAGTTAGTCTTAGTGAACAGATTTTCAGGTATCAATGTAGGTTTCCTTTTTATTTGGGTGTTGCACTGGAGACATATGGATATGTAAGAAACTAACTGTGAGTTTTTTTTTATTTGTAGCAGTAGTGTTGGTTAGCATCAAAATGAAAGCCGATGCTCATTAGGAAAGAACACCTTTCCTGAGTGGTTCTTCAGCCTGGGGTGTAACCTCAGTAGTAATAAGCATGTGCATGGAAAGCAATGCAACCTTTACAGTGGGGCAAAAAAGTATTTAGTCATCCACCAATTGTGCAAATTCTTTCCAAATCAGCCAATGTGATTGTCTGGATTTTTTTTTCTCATTTTGTATCTCATAGTTGAGGTCTACCTATGATGCCAATTACAGGCTTCTCTCATCTTTTTAAGTGGGAGAACTTGCACAATTGGTGGCTGACTAAATACTTTTTTGCCCCACTGTATTTCTTGTTATGAACCATTAACTAAAAGGTCAGCCACAGCAAGTATGATGGATGGGAATCTGTAACAGGCAGGGGTAATGATGGGCTTTGATGTTGGTATGATTTGAATCGGAGATTGGGGACAGAAAACTGTTTTATATCCAGGACTGATTCACTGTAACAAAAGTATTTCTTTCAATGCTTGCAGTAGCCATTTTGGTGCCCCTTGGGAGAACAACATTGCCTGTTACACAGAATACTTAGATAGAATACAGAAGAGGGCATCTACAGGACACTGGGCAAAAAATTACTACAGGTCTAGTCTGTAGAGCTGAAAGTCTACTGACCCATGGCTATGGCTATCAGCTAGGGGTGGTTCAAGTACAGTGTTTACGATTTGGTTCCAATGCATCAATTAGATGGGAGCATTCACTTGAAGACAGTTGGGGGAATAACACTATCATAACAATAAACTGTGGCTGTATGTGCAGCTAACTCTGCCATTACTGGCAAGGACTGCAGAGTGACAGTGTAGTATGGACCAGAGAGGGGCTATATTCTCACAAAACTGGACTATTTTTGGATGGTTAAAAAAAGTCTTCCTGTTTTGGCATAATATTGAAAGTCTAAAAGTGGGGCTATTTAGTAGCTAAGTCAGTCTGGAAAAAAAACAAAAAACATACAGCTTGGAAGCATTCTTGAGGCTATATCAGCACAATACAAAAAAAGAGAAACAACAGAATGTAAACCATATGGTGGCAACATATATTTCATTGGTGTTAAAAACCAGGAACTCCCAAAACAACATAATATGAAAACAAAAAGAAAGAAAAGTACAAGGTAGTACTGGAAAACAATGTGTTAATTAATTCATGCTAAATGAAAGGTAAATAGTGCCCCCCTACTTAGAAATATCCCATCAGGTGACTTAAAATGCAATTATTGACAACATTGTCAGACTAACAAGGCTAATAGACTCAACAGAATAGTGCTGACTGGTTACATATGTGAAATGACTCCAAGATGCCTTGAATAACCCATGTGTTGGTGATCAAAAGGATTAGAAAGATGCCAACCAGAATTTCATGTTGGTTAGGTTTTACTTAAACATTATTGAATGAATTGTTTTGCAGTACACCTTATATTTTCTAGATTTTTTTCTTTATACCTGTGCCATTGCCTACAATTATTCATCATAATTTCATTATCACAAGCCTTGTGGCTTTCTAGTGGAACTCAGTCTGTCTCCATCCACTCTCCAAGCCTGCATATAGGACTTTTCTTCCATCACAGCCTCAGCAAAATGGTAACAGGATGACAGTCTGCTAACTTTGATGTAACTTTCATAGTTTATTTAGTGACTTTTGGTTTTAATAAAAGTTCCTTCATTCACATCCAACGGAAAGCCATGAGCATATATTCCTACCATTAGGATGGCATTTACGGTACAAAGTGGTCCTGAGTACTGTGGTTTTTTTTGGAGTACTTCACTGATTGGCTGAAGTGCTGCATATGATAGCTGTTTATTTCTCTCCCCTGTGTCAGGGTCCGGATCTGAACCTGGGACCTCTGCTGTGTCTGGCAGTAATTCTTTTGGCTGAGCCATTTGAGATGCTGGATAGCTCCCTTCTGATCCATTAGACAATCTTGCCTTGCACCTTGTTTTTGTGAACCTTGAACACTCCTACGAACTTCCTGATTTGAGCCATGTCTCTGCATTCCCTGTTTGCCAGATTATTGAACTCTCTCCAGCCAGTATCTCACTTATGTCACTTCTGCTGCATTCATATCTTCACTACTACTCATTATTAACACTTGGCTTGTTCCTCGATTCCGCTTCTGCTTGATCCCAACCTGCGAGCCCCCATTACCGACCTTTGGCTTGTTTACTGACTATGGTTCTGCTTATCCCTACCTTCTATGTCTGCTACTGGATACTGGTATAATGCATATCCACCACCAGGAGCTTTGGTGAACACCAGTTTGTACTTAGACTCCACACCTAAGGTGAGCCTTTTTCATTCGCCAGAGTGATCTGCTTCTGTACTTATCCAGCTGGTTGGTGGGTGCCTCACTACTGCTAAAGCTACTGGCCTACAAGTCTGACTCCAGATTCTGACACCCTGCTTGTAGAAGTGGTTGATGATCTGTAGGGTGGAATTCCACTGGGCTGAAATATTGTAGGGAAAGATGGAAAGAGATTTTTGTAAGGCCAAGAGAATGACTTTTTGCAGTTGTATGATATGCTAAAATGACCACACGCTTATCTAGTTATGAACAAATCCTTTTCAATCCTGGATATTTTTAGATAACTCAGAAACACTGAAATAAATACATAAGGGGTGCATGAAGAATTTGTGAACATCCCCATGTGCGGTGACGATGTTTTACTGTTGAAGTGGGGTGCATGACCCTATAACCATCAAATGAACAAAATTAAATTCTGATCCTTCTTTTGTTAAGAAACAAGAGGAGCAGGGGATTGTAAGGAAAGATTAATCACCTTGGGTTCTAATATGGAAGTACTGTATTACCTTATTATGATTGGCTTGCTAGGTCACATAGTACGAAGCTCGCACTTACAATCCCATCTTCTCTGTATCTTCTTGAGGAGAACCGTCCTCTGCGTTTCACAGTGTTGCCTATTAGCAGACAAGAACCTGAATTTCACAAGTTTACAGACCTGTTCAGGCAAGCCAGCCAGTGGGTTCTCCCACATTTGTATACTTCAAGCCCTGTGGGATAGGTTAGTAACACACCACACAGAGAAAACTATATGCAGCCAAGACACTGCTACAATATCAACTCTAGGATTACACTGCATGGTGGCAAACACAACATCCAGCAAACTCAATAGGATTTTTGACAATAGATACACACAAATTATGCTGCCAAACTACTCCAGGGAAAGGAGTTGTGGTATGCTCAAACTAGCACACCTAAAGCAAATGCTACACTGTTTTCAGTCATGTCAACCACTGTTTCCCTCTATTTTTCTTCTTATAATTTTTAAACTTTTAACATTCTTCAGCACGATGCCTCATCCACGATTTTCCATAAAAAAAGGACTTATTACTTAAAATATATCCAAATAAGTCATGAAAGGATACGTTTAAGCCAAAGGCATGCTAGTAAGTTAATTGGCTCCTGTCAAATTGGCCCTAGTATGTGTATGTATGAATGTGAGTTAGGGATCGTAAATTGTAAGCTCCTTTAGAGCAGGGACTGATATGAATGTACAATATACAGTAAGTGCTTGTAACAAACAGATAAAAACAGCAATTGCACTATGCATCCATCATATTACATATAAATTTACAGAAAGCAGACACAGAACTACCAAAATTAGTTATAAAGTCTTTTCATTTGTAGAATTTGGTCAAATGTAGTACAGACTCAAATAGGCCACCCGATTCCTGTTTTTCCTAAATTCTTTGTCTGTTGATAACTGTAGATGAAAAAAAAAAAATCATACCCAATGAGAAATACCAATGATGTTAATAAATGTATAATATATTTTGATTTTGCTGACAAATGGTTTTCTTTTTTATCCAGTTTAATTTATTTCAGTTGCAAAAAGGTTTTTATTTAGTTTTAAAGGATAAGTTCACCTTTTAACAAAATATAATAAATGCGCATTTTTTGCAGCTAAAAAAAATGTGTATTTACTATTTTCCATTTTAGGAGCCTGGAAAGCATTGCACTAGCGATCAGCAGGTCCTGCAGACTGTCAGTGTAATCTGTTTGCTCCTACCTTGTATGAGCAGACAGTTTTACACGGACAGGAGGAATTAATTAATTACCACAGTGTTCAGCAGTACCATGACAGTTCCTTGAGAACTATAAGCTGACAGCCACAATGCCTGCTGGGACTTGTAGTCTTCCCATTCACAGTACACTGTGAATCGATGATGCAGGGCCCTGCTCGGCTGCATTTTATTAGGTAGTGACAGCTACCGGGGGGGAAGATCCCCTGTTAGCTGTCACATCGGGGATCAGGGGGTGCGGGGACTGGCACATATTTAACATGTTACACCCCGAATATGGGTGTAACATGTTACAAAAGGTGAACTTATCCTTTAAGAAAAAAAAGGGTACACGCTAATCTGTGAAACATACAGTACTGCATTTGCAATGTTAAGCTTTTACGGTAATACGTTACTAGAGTGAAGCAAGTGATTGAGAGTGGGGTTGATATTACGCTCTGTTGACTAGCTTGTGATTTTTATAAAATGTGTAGCTCCATACAGTGGGAAGCAAAGCTGTTATGTAGACTGTTATGTAGACTTTCCTGATAAATGTACGGTAGGCCTGTCTTATGGTAGAACAAGCATGATGTTATCAGGGTTTTGGATTCAAAGTAGCAGCCATAAGATTTGTAGTGTGTTGGTTCCGAATAAGAGACAAGAAATAAAGAAGGGGAGTAGAAAGTAAACTAGGGTAATAGATGCATGGGGTTGGAAGTGGGTTTTGTGGTATGGGCCCAGACTGCACAGTCTGTTTTTTTTCATTATCTGCTGAAAAAGCTACCTTGATAAGCAGCGAGAATCAGGGGCGGACTGACCATTTGGAAACTCGGGCGCTGCCCAAGGGCCCGGGGTCAGTAGGGGGCCCCAGGAGATGCCCCTGGTGCCTTTTTGATAGGCTTTTTTGAGTTTGGGCAAGGACACAGGAGGGGCCCCATGATCCCCTATTGCCCGGGGGCCCCATGAGTTGTCAGTCCACCCTTGGCGAGAAGTTTTTAATATTACAGAACAAGTCCAGTTGTGTGTGATTACTACTTCTAGCTACTGTATTATGTCAATTTATTTAAGTTTTTCATATATACTATGTATCTGCGCAGATTTGGTCACTGTATATTTCCTCACTTTGTCTGCTAGCAATTAGTTACAGATGTATATTTCTTTATTCAGTAAAAAAAATACTTTTAGAAGAAATTAACAGCAAACCATTATAATCACAGCCTGGTAACTGAAATGAGTAGAAAAATTCATTACCTCTGATCTTAATGTTCTCTTCTGCAAAGAGGGCACAGAAGACCAGTCAGGTGATCCAAATCGTCCAGGCCAGGACACCTTTCTGCCCTGTTCGATGTTATGCTCATAAGTTCCTGGGCTGTAAAAATTGAATTAGAGAAATAATAACTCCCCTAGGTATATCAGAACTAAAATATATTGATCACAAGCAAATGCAACAAACTACATATTTAGTACTGCATAACAAAATATTGCTGAACTTATCTCTACAATGTATTATATAAAAAAGCATATATAAATAGCAACTAAAGCAACCAAATGATAATATAAGTAGTAAAATATATTACCTAGGATTTAGTGAGATATCTGTCATTTTGTCTGGAAATCGTAAAGCTTTGATATTGAAAGGAGCATAGCTTGCGGAAAATGCCTGCTCTTTGGACCAAAACGATTGATACTCTGCAGGACTTGGAGTCTCCATCTGGAAAAGGCAACCCATTTCATTAAGAATGAAAAACATAGCTATACAAATACATACTTGTAAATATGGTCAGCATTTTAGCATCATGGATAACTTGGTATGTATGTTGAGTGCAAATGAACAATATATTTCGGTGGCACCTAGTTTTGTCATTGCTTACATCATTCCAGCCCCCAAATAATTATTTTGCTGAACTTACTAACACTGGCATAACCTGCCCTCCTGAAACTTTTTATTCAGTAAAATCACAGTGCAGTTTTATTTTGTATCTGCTCACCTGAGTCTATTTAAACAGACTCAGAATTTTTAAGGCCTGGTGAAGGGGGGGGGGGGGGGGGGGTATGTTTGGCCCCCAAAACACATTGGTTCTATTCTACTATGAGTCAATCCCACCTTGGACTTTTGGACGTTTGGGGCTTTCATTAGATTGTTCAGTATGTGTGTGGATTCCCAGATAATCCTAGACCGGGTGTCGGCAACCCGCGGCTCCAGAGCCGCATGCGGCTCTTTTTCATCTTTGCTGCGGCTCCGGAGCACACTGCCCACCAGGTGGTCGGCAAGCCGCAGATCGCGAGCCACATGCGGCTCTTCTGTGTGCCGGGCGCCCGCTCCCCTCCCTCCTCAAAAATCCGGCCCGCAGAGCGTGGAACATTGGCTGTCAGGATGTAGGTGGGGCAGCCAGGATGTAGGCGGGGCAGAGTGACGAACTCCTCTCTCAGTCCGCCCTGAAGACCAGAACGGCGCGGGAACACAGCGAGAGGAACGCGCGGAGCAAAGGTAAGTGAATTGAGACAATATGGGGGATGAATTACTATGTGGGGGATGAATTACTGTGTGGGGGATGAATTACTATGTGGGGGATGAATTACTATGGGGGATGAATTACTATGGGGAATGAATTACTATGTGGGGGATGAATTACTATGGGGGAAGAATTACTATATGGGGGAAGAATTACTATATGGGGGATGAATTACTATGTGGGGGATGAATTACTATGTGGGGGATGAATTACTATGTGGGATGAATTACTATGGGGGATGAATTACTATATGGGGGATGAATTACTATATGGGGGATGAATTACTATGGGGGATGAATTACTATATGGGGGATGAATTACTATATGGGGGGATGAATTACTATATGGGGGATGAATTACTATATGGGGGATGAATTACTATATGGGGGATGAATTACTATATGGGGGATGTATTTTCAGTTTTAAAAATGTGGCTGTCAAAATAAATTTCAATCGTGGTTTTGGCGAGATTTGGCTCAGTTGAAAAAAAAGGTTGCCCACCACTGACCTAAGGCTATGATTGTGATTATGAAGGTACACTGTGGCCCTGATTAGCCCTTTGCTTACTGGGCCCTTAAACCCCCTTCATGACCAGAGTGCTTTTTGCAATATATGCAGTGTCGGATTTGTTATAAATAATGTTGCAATGGTTTTTTGCGGCTCCCCAGTCTTTTTTTTCCCTTCGGAAACGGGTCCAAGTGGCTCTTTATGTCTTAAAGGTTGCAGACCCCTGTCCTAGACAGTCTACTTTCCTGATAAAGAGTTAGTTAGGTTTTTAAACTAAAATTATAGACAGATGTTTATTAGTAAGAGAGTAGTTTCAGTTATTAAAGTAAGAATTCCACTTTGATTTTACAATTGATACACCTCTGTACCGTAATTTCATTAAAATCAGAACTGTGGTTTAATCCTTGCCTTCCAAATGTGTCACATTTTGTGACAAAAATACCTGGTCACACTGTATGTGGAACTTAACTGTATACATATAATTAAAATGCTATATATACAGTATAATAATTAAACTACTCGATAAACACCCACTCACTTACAGTTTGTTCACGTTAGTGCTGTGCTGGGAAGGAGTGTTGCCCAAAGCAAGAACAAGGCAATTTGTCCTATGGCTCAAATTCACACCAACATGTACACCAACCAAGTAAGACGTTACATTTTGCACAGAGTGTTCTGACACACTGCAACGCATAACAAAAATTGTGAAGTTTAGAGAAAAAATTCACCAGAATAGCCTCTGGTGTTCAGATGACCTGCTTTCCAAGGATGAAGAATGAATGAAATTTTATTTTCAGCACATTATTGCTTAGAACTAACACCCCTTCAATTTGGGGCATACACACATGGCCATTCTCACTATGAGCCACTAACATGCCTTCTTTTACTATCACCTTTTCATTAGAGCTGAAACGTTTTGCTGTTCTGGCTCCCAAAGTGTATCCTTTTTTACTCATGGGTTTCCTGCTCTGAAGATATATCATGTTGGTCGCCTGAAAAGTAAAACACACCTGGTAATACAGCAACAACCTGCAGCATTAAAAGAAAATTACATTTAAATAATAATAAAAAAACTCTAAGGATGCACTGGAAGACCCATGTCTTGATACCATACTCTCTACAAAGCCAATCAAATCAACAGTTAGAATAAACAAATTACTAAACAAACTTTAGAAAAACTGAGGTCTGATGACTAAAGCTACAGCAAAAATGTATCAGGCTGCAAATAACTAAACAGCATTAAGGCACCATGCACACTAAATGCTTGTAAAGACTACTAACACACTACTGCCACCTGACAAAAAAAAATTATGATTTTTATCCAGTGTTTTCTATTAGCATTTTTTGAGCTTATATGAAACACTAGTGCGCATGGAGCCTAAGCTCCATGCGCACTAGCATTTTTTTAAGCTCCTAGAAGCTATTATGAGCATTTTTTTAATGCCCCTAGAAGCTAGTAGTGTTAACCTATGTGTCCATGCAGACTATTTTATACTATAAGCATTTTTCAAGCTTCAGTGTTTAGGAGCAGAAAAAAAAATTAGTTTTGTAGAGTTTTTGGGAGCATTTTCCTGGCAGTAAAAAATGCTGGAAATCCCTAAACGCTTCTAAACACTAGTAAAATGCTCTTAACATCATCTTTTTTCAAGCTGCTAATGAAACGCTAGTGCTCCTAAATGCTAATAAAATGCTACTACAAGCCGGCACAAAAACGCTATTATTATTGTTTATCATCCAGCGTTTTTTCTAGTATTTTTTCTACTTGTAAAAAATGCAAGTGTGCATGGAGCTTTAAGAAAAACTGAAGGGAATATTTAGTCCTCCTATATATGCTACTTGTATGACCAATGCTCATGTAGTAAGTCTTTACTTTCTGGCTAAATGAACTAAAAAAAGTATGTAAAGTAGGAGGAGTCATTTCATTTGCTGTTTGTTTCAGGTCAATGATTCAAAAAATATTGATACCAAAGACAGCCAGGCTACCAGTATTTTCAGACCCTTTTGTCTTCTTTTATGTAAAACTGAAAACAGAGAGCTCTGGCCATATTTAAGCAGGCTACAATTATGGAAAAGAGATTTGTAGATAAAGGATATTGTCAAGAGAACATCAAGAGTAAAATCAGAGAAGTAGGAGATATGGATAGAAGTTGCCTTCTGTTAGACAAGAATAATAAGAACAAGATAGAATTTGACAACCAATTGGCTATCATTCTAGACTTTACAGTCAGTTATAAGGAAATTGAAAAAGTTTTTACTAACCATTGGCCGATTTTGCTCACGGACCCTTTGCAGTGCAAATTATTACCTACTACTCCCAAATTTATATATAGGAAAACCCCTACATTGAGATCCGTATTAGTACACAATGTTATAGATCCACCTAATAAAAATAGAACGACATTTTTGGATCGAAAGGGCTTTTTTCCTTGCAAAATGTGCTACGCCTGCAGAGCCATCAAAGGCCTCAATCCCAGACGCCATTCATTCACCTCTACAAGTAATCATAGAGAATTTCAAATCAAGGATTTTATATCCTGTAAGACGGAGGGGGTAGTATATGCATTGCAATGTGGCTGCGGTCTCCAATATGTGGGCCGGACGAAAAGGCCATTGTGGGTCAGAATGAGAGAACACGTTCAGAATATTCGCAAGGGTTTTCCTAAGCACAGTGTTTCCAGACATTTCTTACAATATCAAAATAAAGATCCCTCAAGTCTAGTCTTTTGGGGAATTGAGAAGTATCATAGGCACTGGAGGGGAAGTCATAAAATTAGAGCATTAAGTCAGACAGAGTCTAAATGGATTTTTATTTTAGATACACATACGCCCAAAGGGTTAAATATCGATTTTGACTTAAATTGTTTTATTAGTGATCATTAATTATCTGTGGCATTATTTGAGTGTTATATAGGGTCCTGGTTATTTCATGTGTATGTATTTTGGTATCTTATGTGTTTATACGATGGGTGATCAGCATATGTCGAGAGGTGGTTCCTTTATTTTACTTTTTTTTTTAAATATATTTTATATATTTTTTTGTTTTCTTACAGTGCAGCGGCGTTTTTTTTGCGATTTATTCCTTTAATATATATATTTTTTTACATATGATTTTTGTATATATATATTTTAATATACATCCTCCTAATAAAGTGTATTACAAGAGGCTGTGTTTATATATATATATTAATTTTTTATATTTTTTTTCTTTACCATTTTTTATATTTGCTTGATATTCTCGTTTGTTTATGATCTGGACTTAGCATGTCATTAGCACTTACCATTCTATGTGCTATTGTTGTTGGCATGATTCCAGTACTGGAGTAGCAGCCTGGGGTATATATATATATATATATATATATATACATGTTCGGGCTATTTTTAGGTATGCGATCGACGGGCTTCAATAATATGGCCGCCGTGACTCCACCCAGTGGATCACGATTGGAGGATAGGCTGGCCTATTTAAGGGAGTGCAATAGACCAATCGCGTTAGTCCTGAGGAAGTCACGAGGTCACGTGACGCAACGTGTCGACGGCAAAACGTGGTGACGCACTTCCGGCGCGGCGCCATCTTGGAACACCCTTCAGCCACACGCTTACACCCATGGTATGGGTATCAGCTTGTATTTCATCTGGCAAATGTGAGTGTACACAAGTATTTTATTTCATCTTATTAAAACGATTTTACATATGGAGGATGTCTTCTGCTTCCTTTGTCCTATTGGGGTTTGAGCTGGGATTTACCCTGCTCAACTGACCTCTGAGGATATCATAGGAGAGGTGGAAGCAGTATACTGGGGACACAACACTGAAGCCATCCGCTCAAGAGGAAGCTTATTCTGACACAGTGGGGATATATAAAGCTCTGTGGCCCTGCAGGGTCGCAGGGAGGAGGTGAGAGGCCATTCCAGCCGTTTTTGGATTGCACTTGGTGGTGTGCGGGTCTACACATAGTCCATGGATTCTGTATGAGTGGAGGAATTGACACAGGATCACTGGACTTTCATTTTTATTTATGTGCACTGTGTGCAGGGGTTGCACATTTGTTCCATCTCATTTTCTAGTTTTATCACGCACTAATTTGTTCTTTCCATATATATATATGATCTCATCATGATGTCAGATTGTTCATGGGCCTGATCGTTTTTGGTTTAGCGCTACATCATTTCTAGTTATATTAAGCATGTTAACCATTTTTCTATAAGTGTAAAATTAATACTAGACAAAAAAATACTAAGGAGCTTCTGAGCCAATAAACAGCACTTGACAGAGAGCAGGGAAAAAAATTAAAAAAAAAAAAATATATATATATATATATATATATATATATATATATATATATATATATATATATTAAAACTGGCATTATTTGTTTAGCCTTTGGTTGTAATTTTAGCTGCTTTCCACCTTCCTGACCCACCTCTTCATTGTTGTAGCATCCAGGTCCACGATGCGGGCTCCCTTTGATAGGAGCTAATTCATTACCCAAGCGGTCTGGTGCACAGTAATATGGGAATTGTTTACGATCCTGTGTGCTGCCAAAACAAACTTTCTTTAAGGTTTCTGAAAAAACAAAACAAAACACATGCCAGCACTGCATAGGAAAAATAATGAATAGCAATGAGCAGGTATAGCCTTTATTAATAAGTACTATTTTATTTAGTCTTTTTTTTTGTGTGTTTAATTCTACAGTACACTTCTTGTGCGCTAAAGTCCACTGTGTCTGTACTGATTATACTGCCAGGAAGTGATTAAATGTTCAGTTAGCTTGCTTGAGGTGTATAGAAAATGCCACTTGTGCTTTGGAAAGTGAACATTAGAAAACTATTCCAATGGTTGCATGATTGATGTATGTGTAATGCCCTCTAAGTTAGTTAGGAAGTTTTCTTTTAGATAATGGCTGAGTAGCATCCTGGGGATGAGTCAGCCTGGGGATTGAGGTAGTGAGGTTACCTCTGCACAGGCTGGGAGGCTCTATCAGGTCAGGGTTTCTGGAGCCCTCCCACCTCTTTAGAAACCTCAGAACTTTCTGGAGGAGGCCTAGATCTGCATGTTTGAGGGGCCTTGGCCAATCCCCTGGCAGGAGGCCGGGCATGGTGAAAAGGGCAACCCTCAAATGTGGTAGAGCATGGGGAAAGGTGAGCAGTGTCGGGTGGAAGAAGCTTTGAGGAAGGCTGGAGTGTTTAGCCTGGGAGGGGACGCCAGGGAAGGGGCCTACCTGCAGGCTGGTTGCTGGACAAGAGGATCTCTACTGCCTCAACATCTCCCAGGGAGGACAGCCTATGTAGCATGGAAGGAGCCAGCCCAGTGAAAGGCCTGAAGGCAGCTACCAACCCATTAAGCTAACAGGAGGGGACAGTTTGAGTACTCTTACACCCCCTTGGTCAGATAAGGGGAGAGGGCAATCAGGTGCATGACCTAACTAGCTTCTTATCCGGGACTGTTCCAAATTGACAGCTCTTATGCCCACTTGCCCAGGGATTGTCACGATATAAGGTCAGGTTCAGAGACCAGTTGCTATAGCAGTAAAAGGCTTACCTGAAACCAGCAGTATAGGTACACCAGCGGATCCCCCTGGGAATGACGCAGGCTCACCTGAGGTGCGGGGTCTAAGTATTAACTGGTATTCACCAGAGCTCCTAATGGTGGAGATGGATTGGCCTGCGTGTTAATACCAGGTCGCAGATCTCAGGATCACCCCACCAGGGAATGAGCAGACTGGGAACCAATAGCGGATCAACAGGTTAGGGATCAGACGAAAGCAGAGTCAGTCACAAGCCAAGGGTCAGTCACAAATGGTAGCAGATCAATCGTAGTACGTTAGGATGAGACGAAATCGTGGTCAGGAACAAGCCAAAGGTCAGTAGCGGAGGTGTAGACAGCAGCAGGAACCGTAGCGGGATATTGGCTGGAAAGGCACAATAATCTGGCAAGGAGGAAGTGCATGGACATGGCTTTTATAAGGAAGTTCATGGGAGGAGCAAGGAGTTCAAGGTTCAAGAGTTTTCAAGGCACAAGGCAGGATTATCCAAGAATTGTCAAGGGAGCTATCCAGCATTCCAGATAGCTCAGTGAGAAGAGACATTGCCTCTCGCTGCAGAAGGACCAGGTTCGATCCCAGGCTCTGACAGGGATACCCTCAGGCAGCTGGATGAAGAGGAGGAATCATCCAGGGTCTAAGGAGGGACACCCGAAGGGGCATTAGTGCTCCTTGAGTAGACTTCTACTATCTTAATTTTTATACATAGTTGCTAAGGAGTTTGTCCCCAGTTTCTGCAGTTCCTTGGGCACACAATATACTCCAAAACCCCATCCAAGTTTAATCCCTTAAAAAAAATCACATAACCAAGCTCCAGGACTGTTCTTTCACTCCAGTGTGCAAAGTATGGAAAATGCATGTTGCCTGGCCATGCAGTGCAAAAGGGGACCCAAGTCAAAATTCAGAAGGTTATGCTACATATACCTACAAAAAACACTTTTCTCACTGTATGAGATATTTGCCAATTCTGTGTGAATCTGATGCCACCACTGCAGTATGAATCTCTCATATATAATGTGTATTGGAAATAATACATTCTTAATAGCTAAATACACAGGTGAAACATTATGGCTGCGCCATAGGCATGTGAAATTGCACCCCTGTCCTGACCAGAGCTGGCCACATCTGCCTACAACAACTATCTATCATCCTCCCTGGACACTCTTGCTTCTCTATCTACATGCAGAACGAGGCCTCGACTGTCACAACCCTGGCAAACAGATGACACCATAAGTCTCAAGAAACGCAGCCGCACTCTTGAGTGAGCATGACGTAAAACTAAATCCCTGAAAGACTTTACCCTCTACAAATCCGCTCTTCTCAAATACAACTCCAGCCTCCACGCTGCTAAGCAAACCTACTATAACACTCTCATCAAGACCCTCTCATCCAATCCTCGTCAACTCTTCTCTACCCTTAATTCCTTACTCCACCCCCCACTGCCTCCACCCACCAACTTACTTACTGCACAGGAGATTGCCAGTCACTTCAAGAAGAAGATCGACACAATTCGTTTTGAGATCTCCAGTGTCAAGCTTCCTTCTCTAACCAACATACTGTGAATGTTTACATGTTATGTGCAATTAAACCATGGCAACATCTAATGTTTGTGTAGTATTATGTTCAGCAGACTGTGTTCTTCTATTGTTGTGACTTAGATGACGTTCAGAGCACATTTTATGCCCAACTCATGCAAAACTCCACATAATCCCAAGGGGTTCACATACTTTTTCTTGCAACTGTAGCACCAACGATTCATTCACACCATTTGCACTGGACAGCTTTGCGCATGCAGTTCCAGTGCCTAGACATGGCAGTTTGCCTTGAGTCCCAGGGCCGATGTTTCCACTAGGCAAACTAGGCAGTCACCTGGGGCACACTAGCACCTAGAGGTGCCTGGGCGCAGGACAGACCGGCACTCTCTCTGTGTAGCCTATGGGCCTCTTGTATGAATTCATATGAATTCGACTGGCAGCTGCTGATCACTGTAGAGTGTCCTGTTTCTCTGTCTGATTGGTTAATACAGTTAATTTATATTTGGTTAATATATACAGTATTTTGTATTTAATACATCTTATGGCACTTATTTTGCAAATGAAAAGAAATTTAGCAGTTTCATTGTTTGTTGATGTAATATTTTCTACTGTTTTTACACATTTTTTTTGGGGGGGGGGGTGTGCAAGTAGCTGGTCTTGCCTAGGGTGCAAAATAGTCTAGCACCGGCCCTGTTGAGTCCTATAAGTTCAGTTCACAGCACTGTGCTGCAGAAGTGCTTGCTGAAAAAATTTGGATATGATTTATGTGTTGTGATGCAGTACATCACATCGCAACCTGTTGTGGTGAATGGTGATGACTGAAAAACTATTTTGTGACATTTCAATAAAGTTAAAAAAAATTTAAAAAAGGTAAACCGTGCAATGTATCATTGCAATTCATTGGGACCACTCCCTTCACAGTGCGCACCAGCAGTCACAGTATAAAGTGGCTGCTGGTATAAAGAAGCCCTAAAGGACATTAACCCCTCCACATCAGTCCCTGACCCCAAGTCCCTACTACATTCAGATAAACAGGATCAAACCAGAGTTTGCCATTTCATCTCTCAGAATATTTAGAATCAGCATACACTGGTGTTCATATCTTGCTTCTGAAACACATCTGAGAAGAATGTGGAATGCTGGGGATTTTTTTTTTCTTACTAGATCACTTGGAGCAGAATTCATTTATTTTCATTTTTCAGTTTATGGCCTTTGTAAACACAACATGTCCTGCTGTATTTAAAAGTATCTAGTCAATGTAAATATGAAGTAATTGTATCTGAAATGTGTGTCAAGTGCAAGTGAGGCTGCCGATCACATGTCCATTATAACATTAACATACCATATGGCTCTATGCATAGTTCATATTTTCAGGCAAAATTAAATCAATTCCTTTTTTGTGTTTTATAACTAGGAAAAATTCAGGAGTAAATGTTTTTCGTGTTAACACCCACATATCTCTAGATGTGATTTATGCATTATGATCTTCATGTCAATCCAGCCTTACCTGGTTCAGGCTCCATCTCGCTGATGCTTTGTATACAAGATATTGCTATGACAACGTGGGTGGACCTCAGAGCAGAACATCACATAAGGATTGCCATTAGTTCATAAAAGGTGCAATGGCTCCCCCTGCTGGTTACAAGTAAGAATGTGTTGCTAAGCCCAAACTACTGTATATGGACATGGGAAATTCAAGAACTGTTATTTCAAAATTATGATGATTTTTTACAAATCTACTTAAAAAAAAAATGAGACAAAGCAGTGGCTGTGAGATAAGTATACCTAGACTTTGCTAAAGCAGCTGACATATTTCCCACAGACGGCTAAGACAATCCATTCTGTAAGGGCCCTTTGACACTGACCACAGCGGAATGCAGTTTACTGCAGTTAGCTGCATTTTGGACTGCACTCCAACTGCATAGACAGTCCAAAATCCAGGCTATCCTGTGGGCATAGTTCACACCATTACAGTGCAGTTCAACGCAGTGCGGAAAAGTACAGCATGCTGGAATATTCCACACCGCAAACACGCAAAAACACATGCAAACGCACTGCAATGCATCACAGTGCACATAGAAGCCCAAAGAAAGAAAGATGAAGGAAGTGACCTCACAGCACAGATGCAGATAGAAAATAACGCATCAACTGCATGTAACATGCTCATCAAATGCATGCATAGGTACAAGGAAAAACACACAGTTACTGGTGTGAATGGGTCCTATATGGAAATAAATGTGGCTTAGAGGGTAACTCCAAACCCCCCCCCACCAGCAACCAACCAAATACATACACAATGTATCATATTGCAGCTTACTAGTTCCTAGATGTACAGTAGTGGCTGCATCTTTTTTTGGCTTTTATTCTTTGTTTTCACCTGATAATCCTTCCAGTAACACACTGCATGTCCCAGGGTGACTATTCAATCCCTGTGCTGTATGTATTGAGGGAGCCATGGTTGTCACCCAAGCTGCTCCCTCAATATCGACT